GTGAACCCAGAGGAGACCCGGCCCAGAGGCTGCTGTTGAATTAAATTTTCGAGTAGAAAAATAAAGCGGGAGCAAAACTGACTATGTTTGTGCTTTATTCATGTATTTATTACAAAGTATTAATCAAACCCATCAAAGTCATCATCCTCTGTTTCTGAATTAAACAGCTGCGCTAAATCAGACATTCCAATTTCCCTTTCTTCGCTGTCAGAGTAACTTTCCGTGCCGGGCGGCTCCTCGGAAATAATGCCGGCTTTTGCGAAAGCTTGAACAACAGAGCCAGCAGACACGTTAGCCCAAGCATCAAAAATCCATCCGCAAACGGTGCTGCCTTCCACTTTTCCTGAAACTGTGGTCTCCGTCTGTCATCCATCGCTCCCACTCCGCTCGCAGCCTTACTTTGAACGGCCGGTTCACACCGATATCGAGCGGTTAAGGTTCCTTTCAGACCTCCCGGAATAACAGCGAGCACAGCGTTCATTTTTTTTCACCTTGTTTCATCCAACTCGGGCCACCTCGCTTTATGTCCACGGAAACTCAGCTGCGTCTTCTTCACCTGTCGGAGTTTGTTTTCCATCTTCCTCCACTTGCGAACCATCGATTCATTAATCTTGAATTCTCTCGCGGCTTCTCGATTTCCATGTTCCTCTGTGTAGCTGATAGCCTTCAGTTTTAACTGTGCTTCATAGGCGTGTGTCTTTGCCATTTTTAGGGTTGTTAAGACAACAATTTTCTGCATAAAGCACATACCTGTTCTGTTATACACAATCCACGGCCACACTTCCCCCCTTTAACGTTCTCAACAACGTCCGCAGTAACAACACACATAGGGCGCACCGCACTATAGGGCGCGCCGCACATTTTGAGGGGAAAAAAAAGACGTTTATATGCGCCTTGTAGTCGCGAAAATACGGGTATTAAATGTGTACTGGGTGATGTTCCAGGTGGGTCATCAAAATAAGTGATCTTTTCAATTGTCAATCATTCTGGTGATATGTTTCTGCACATGTGAACTTTCAGGCCTATATGTGTGGTGAGCTACGGATTCAGTCATTGAAGCTCACCTTTCTCACCATGGCTCTTTGAAAATGGCCGCGGGTCGTAAGAGAAGAAGTGCCTACGAAGTGTATGGGAAGATGAAAAAGGCCTAAGATGAAAGAAAACAGACTAGAGTGTTTTTGGGAGATTCTTTCATATGATGGTAACACTGACAGCACATGTTGAGCTTCCCACTGATGCCTCGACAGGTAAACTCTGGCATGTTATTTGGGGAAATCCGTTTCACATCACTTCTAGTAAAATAAGGAGAAATGCACTTGTGCGTGCTCTTGCACACATTTAATAGGCATTCCCTTTTGGGAGACAGTACATGGTTGTGCATGTGTATTTTGTTGATAGGTTGGGTCTTTTCAAAAACTTGGGAAAATCCTCCAACACCTGGAAAAGTTTATGGTTTGGTAGCTTGGTGTTGAAAGAAGAGCAGAATAGAAACAATACTGGAAATTTAACAAGTTTTAAAGGAATAGTACACCCAAAACATGATTAGCCTTCATTTTCTACTCACCCCCATGCTGAACAA